ATATGCCACGGTTGCAAAATCACGCTGCGATAGTGCCTGTGTTACTGTACGGGTCAGAGACCTTGCCACTTCACAGTAAAGACATTCAAGACTTGGACTTATTCGATCACAGGTGCCCGCAAAATATTACTCTCATCTGTTGAGAATACCAGGTGAGCAATGCTGAGATCCGCTAGCTGATTTTGGCAAGAAGCCTTCCTGTACCTCACTCGAGTGTTTGTTGAATCTTAACCGCCTACGCTGGCCAGGTCATGTCCTCCGTATGCCCGTTGACCGCCTTCCTCAACTTGCACTATGCGCCGTCGCTGCACCAAGTTGGGCGAATCCGTGAGGTGGCCAATCAATGACGTAGCACAAAGGAATGAAGAAAGTGATTGAGAGACTTGGTCAAGTAGGCGCGTGCTGTTTTCGTGCATTGGAACCTCGTGATAGTCCACAACAATGGTTGAAGACCCTTTCAAACGGGGCGCATTCGCGTATTCTTTGGCGTTTCTGCATTCGGTTCATGCACGTAGCTTTAGTTTCCATTCCATCCTGACTAGTTTAGCGAACCTCGTTCTTCATTACAATTGCTTTGTATTCTATTTGCTTTCAACCTCATTTTTTTGCCTTTGTTGTTTATTGTTATGCTGGCGGTGTTAGTCGTAGAGACTGCATCTACTGCACTTCGACACAAGAAAAAGCCGTTCTACTGAACTGAACCGAAGCACTACACCATCTGAAGCTAATTACCATGCCGTCGAGTTAGGAACTCCTACGTGCTGCCGAAATATGGCGTCAAGCAAAAGAAGGTCCTCTCATATTATTTAAAATAATGCATTGGCTGGATAAATGCACAAAGCGACAAATTGGTATGCCTTATAATAGCGGTCCCCATTGACCGAGGTAAAGTCCAGGTGGTAAGATGTGACCAACTCGTTCACTGAAATCAACAACAAGGACGAAAATTTACGCAACAGCTGACGAAGTTCACGATAAAAGTCGACCTTGGGAGAACCAGTTGGAGCATAGGCGGAATCCTTGATTATACATAAGCCCTGAAGATGAGCTATACATGCCTACCTGTTAACCAAACACAAAGTCAAAAGCACAACCCCGGTTTTGCTACATTAGCCTAAGTCAAAACAAACGAAAACGGTTGCCAAAGAGTACGCGTCATCAGACTGATGCGTATGACATTTGGCCCCAAAGTCGGTGGGTGATGTCACCTGAGGCACTTTAGTAGAGTCAAAGCGAATTACGGAAGGCAATAAATACGGAGAGTAGAAGAATCCGGGGGCACGCCCTGGTTAGTTCTGTTATTCAATCTGCATGAGAGTGCGTCAACAACCGAAACGAAAGTGGACAGTTGTTCGAACCCCACAATTAAAAGTACGCTCAAGGAAACAGAGATAACTGGCAAATGACGTTTCAGCAAACGGTAAAAGTAGGGTGATGACGACGAATGGAGGACGGAAGAAGTGACATGTTAAAAGGATGAATCAGTAGGGTCAGATATCATCCGCGACCAAAAATAGAGTGGAGAGCCTATTTCAGGGACCCTAACTCCGTCTTCCGGTGTAAAAGTGTACAAAATAGATAGCAGAGCAAAGACAAGGAGCAGTGACCATCGGTAATCCGTGGCCGATTTCCTTGTTTATGTGCCCTTCTTTTAGTTTTGTTTGTAACAGTCTTTAATAGCTATATATACATACATATATATATATATATATCCTTGTGCACATTAATTGAAACAAACTATGATTGTGTCTCTTTTTCTATGAATATCATGTTTTTATACATGAAAGCTGCCCTTTTGGCATTTATTTTTTATTTTATTTTGGGAATGGATATTTCATCATTGTTTGTGAATCAGACGATGTAATAACTGCGCATGTCTAGCCGTTACCTCACCCAAGATTGCATCATACTTTTTATGGTTAGTAAGGTTTTTGTTTCAACTTCTTGTTTTTTGTGATTCAGTCATTGTTTGAGATGGACGTGACTTCCAGAAGGCGCATGAAGATCGTGACCTTGCACGAACACACAGACAAGACCTACGGGGACATAGCAAGAATAGTAGGCGTCAGTCCGGCAACCGTCAGCCGTGTGGTCAAAAAGAAAAAGGAAACGGGATGCATTTCGCCAAAACGCAAAGGGAAATGTGGTCCTAAGAGGAAAACCACTGCCAGGGATGATGCTTACCTAATACGGGAAAGTGTTAAAGATCCTCGAAAGACTAGTGACGCATAAAAACGTGATTTGGGGGAGAAAGGAATAGAAATCAGTTCTTCAACGGGATCTGGCCCCGTGCCACACATCAAAAATGGTCAAGACTTTTTTCAATACTACTCAAATAACCATCTTGGACTGGCCTGGGAATTCACCAGATTTAAACCCCATTGTAAACATGTGGTCTATTTGCAAGCAACGCCTTCGTGGCATGGACTGTACGACAAAGGAGAAACTTATTCAAGCTTTAATTCAAGTTTGGTACAGGGACCCAAGATGTTGAAATACGCCAGATCCGTCAGGAAATGTCTTTTTTAGTTCTGGAAAAGCTCTTCTTTGGAGAACTTCTATATATTGTGGAGAGCGCATCATGCCCTGGACTGGATGCAAAGCGCCGACGAAGTTATAACTAAAGCACCCCCAAAACATCTGCTTTTGTGGGTGTTTCACAAAGTGGTCAATGTGGGAATCACGAACCATTTCTCCTTCTGACCTCCGAACATACTGACTTCTCTGACCATGAACATGGGAATGGCTTTCATCGCTGAATAGGACTTTTCTCCAATCTATTTTTGTCCAGTTTTTGTATTTTAGTCCCCATTTGTAACGCTTAATTTTCATTACTTTTGTCAGAAGTTGTTTTTCGCAGGCCGTCTGGATTTCCGACCAAATTCCAGGAGTCGCCTGCGAACCGTTGAAGAACTGATTTCTATTCCTTTCTCCCCCAAATCACGTTTTTATGCGTCACTAGTCTTTCGAGGATCTTTAACACTTTCCCGTATTAGGTAAGCGTCATCCCTGGCAGTGGTTTTCCTCTTAGGACCACATTTCCCTTTGCGTTTTGGCGAAATGCATCCCGTTTCCTTTTTCTTTTTGACCACACGGCTGACGGTTGCCGGACTGACGCCTACTATTCTTGCTATGTCCCCGTAGGTCTTGTCTGTGTGTTCGTGCAAGGTCACGATCTTCATGCGCCTTCTGGAAGTCACGTCCATCTCAAACAATGACTGAATCACAAAAAACAAGAAGTTGAAACAAAAACCTTACTAACCATAAAAAGTATGATGCAATCTTGGGTGAGGTAACGGCTAGACATGCGCAGTTATTACATCGTCTGATTCACAAACAATGATGAAATATCCATTCCCAAAATAAAATAAAAAATAAATGCCAAAAGGGCAGCTTTCATGTATAAAAACATGATATTCATAGAAAAAGAGACACAATCGTTTTAATGTGCACAAGGATGTATATAGGTTTGGCGGCATCCGGTTTCGGATTTGCCTGTCACTGTGGCCAGCCACAGGACGCCAGTGCCTACAGAGGGACCAAGGATGGCTTGCGCTGCACCACCCACAACTCCAACCACACACCCTATATCCAGTGTAAACCCTAAGGAATAAGGCCAGAAGGCAATTGGATGGGAACCACGTCTCTTCAATGGGGCCGGCCCACACTCCTTCACAGACTCACAGTCTGTGTGT